GTCCCCCCCCAAATGACCCCTGTGTGTGTGTGTATATATACACACACACACACACACACACACAGATATATACCCTGAGTACCAAAAAGAGAAAGAGGTGTGTTTTTTAAAAAAAAAAAAAAGCAGAAGTAACGCCCAAGTCTTGGTGATGGTGGTGGTGGTGGTGGGGATCAAATGGCCCCAGAGCCCCACAAGACTGAGGACCCCCCAACACACCGCTTCACATTGCCTGAGGTTAGGGGGCATAGAAGGCTGCTCTCTTAATTACTGGAATAAAAGATTTTTTTTGTTTGAATTAAGCACATCTGATAAATCCTGCTCCTCATTTTAAATATCATTCGGTTGATTAATACTATGATGATTCATAATTTCCTGAGTTTGCAAAATATTCCATTAAAGTAGGTTTGCCTGTCCAGCGAGTAGGCATACATGGTTATTAATGGATTTCTCATCATTAAATATATTACAGACTTAAACGATATCATACATTACACTACACCACTGTCCCATGTACTTAAACACGAAATGTTATTTACTGACGAGCATTTGGGAGGAAGGCGATGCAAAAGGAAATCCTCAATGTTACATTTTGCTCTGGTCCACCCCTTTAAGCCTCTGCCTCCCCACCCACACAGACCTCGGTGGGGACTGTGACGCACCAGTTACTCTCCTTTGCCCTAGCTGACCTGTGGGCCTCACTCTGTACAAAGCCAAGTCATTTCTTCTCTCTGTGCTTGGGCCATCGATACCGACCGACTTCAGAGACCACTTCCAGAGCAAGCGAGTTTTGGCTTGTGAAAGTGCCTACCGCAACAAATGGATGCGTGTCTTTAAAGTGCCACAGGGTTCCTTTCAGGTTTGGCTGCAGCGGGTGGCCGTGTCCGTGTCCCGGAAAGCTCTTCCTGACATGTTCGGTGATGGAGAAAAGGTAACAGCAAGTGATCTGCAGTCTTCTAACTCATATAGCCGCATGGCAGGATTTTACAGAGAAAAAGACCCCCCTTCTCCCTCCCCCCACCCCGAGCACTTAAGTACAGAAAGTGCATCTGCCTAAATTGTCAGCATCACCTCCCACATTCGATTCCTCCCCAGATCTGTGCATCCCCTCAAATATCACCTCATTCACTCCACTGATGCTGGACCCGTAATTTCTTCTCTTGCAAAATGCTTTCCTTTTTTTTTTTGCTCGAAGGTTCAAATGTCATTTTTCGCCACACCTGGGAATTGGTGGTCAGGTTGAATATCCTAGCCCCACAGTGCTTTCCAAAGGATGCCAACTCACGCTTGCTCACAAAGAGGCCCGGATTTTTTTTTTCAACAACGCAACATGGCACGATAGCAAAGCTCCCGGATGAGCCACAACAAGCTGCTGGAAACCGCCAATACTTACGGGCAGGAAGCCGCAGGGGGCCCCCCGGCCCCCACTGTGGGAAAGTGACAAGCGGAACTCGGAACCCCCCACCCACTAGAGAATCCCACCCTTTTCTCAGTCTGACCATTCGTTCTCGTCCAGCTCAGAGTCGTCATCTGATTCACTGTACTCCACAGCAATCCGGCGGGAAAGGATCGTGGCCACGTCATTCCCCACAGGCTCCTTCTTAGCCTCCTGTTCCCACTGCTCCTGGACTTTCCGGAGCTGGATTCCTGCAGGCGTGAAGGAAGGAAGGAAGCAAACCCTTTGAGTCAGCAACATGCAGCGCAGATGGATTAAGGACATAAGAACCTCAGAAGAGCCCTACTGGGCCAGACCCATGAAGGTCCATCTAGTCCAGCATCCTGTCTCACACAGGGGCCAGCCAGTTCCTATGAATGGCCAAAAACAGGGCATAGAGGCCGAGGCCTTCCCCTGGTAAGAACCTCAGCCCTGCTGGATCAGACCATCTAGTCTGATCCATCCATCTAGTCCAGCATCCTGTCTCTCACAGGGGCCAACCAGTTCCTACGAATGGCCAAAAACAGGGCAAAGAGGCTGAGGCCTTCCCCAGGCCCCGCCCCCAGAGACACTCAGGGAGTGAGAGATTTAAATACCTGGGTTCCCCGCCCCATCTTCTCCAGGTGCCCTGATTGGGCAGGGAACCCAGGCATGAATGCCTCCCTGCCCTCCCCGTCTCCGGGGATGGGAAAGGCAGGGAGGAAGATATGCCTGCCTTTTCCCCTGAGCCTCTCCACTTTTGCAGAGAGACTTGGGGGGGGGGATTTAAACTCATTTGCATAACTCATTTTAAATATGCCTGCCCTTTGTCAGGGGGTGTGGCATATGCAAATGAGCTCCTGCACCTCTTTTTCTAGGAAAAGACCCCTGGTTATCATCATCAACATCATCCATTTCGAGCATTTATTAGCCGCTTTTCTTCCATGCAGAGCTCAAGGCAGCAGAGAACATAAATAAGGTACATGAAAGAAAGTACATAAAAATGCATAACATCGAAATGTAAAATCACAGTTCAGGACTGGCTTAATCAAATGCAGTTTTAAGTAGAACCATCGTCAGCTGCCTCCTCAAGGTCGAAAGCGAGGGGACCAGGTGCTCCTGCCCAGGGAGGCTTTTCAATAATCATGGGGGGCTGCCACGGAAAAGACCCTGTCTCGTGTACCCACCAAATGAGCTTCTTGACTTATGGGTCTCTCCCTGAAGTCTCAGTTCTCGGGCAGGAGCACGCGGGGGAAGACGGTCCTCCAGACAGCCCAGGTGGGACTTTAAAGTAAAAAACCACCACCTTGAACTGGTCAGAACTGGAGTTGATGCAGCTGCTATTTAACAATTGGGAGGGGGGAGATCCATTTCAGGCCTCCCAGAGCTGCATTTGGACTCATTTCCTGACTTTATGGCACAGGCAGGACTCATCTTGGGGACTTGCAGATCCACAGCTCAGTCTCTGAACCACAACGCCACACTTGCGGATCTGCTCAGCAAAAAGTTGCCCTGATTCTGGGGACTCTGAGGGTCGCTGCCGGCATGGAAGCCAGAGACTCACCTCTGCGGATCGCAGCCAGCAGGTCGCTCCGAGCGTCGCTCATGGGGATCAGCGGGATCTGAGCCTTCCGTGCTTCCACCGCGGCGGCAGGGGGAGAGGCCGAGTGAGCCGGTGAGGCCGTGACTATTGGGGGGCCGGG